TGGGGAGAGGATAATAACGGCGGGTAAAGAAAAGAAGAGAGAAGGGGAAGGAAAAAGAAGAGAGAGAAGCGAGGAAAAAGGAGAGGAGAGGAGAGGAGAGGAGAGGGGGGGGAAGGAGAGAAGAGGAGAGGAGTCGAAGAGAGCGGAAAATAGAGATGATGAAGTGAAAAGAAGAGAAGAGAAGGAAGGGGAGGAGAGGGGCGGAGAAGAAAGTGATTTTGAAGCCACAAAAATAATAAAAAAGAGGAAAGTTGATGATTCCTATTTTTCAGGACACGCTTGTTAAACAACATTGTGCTGCGAAAGTACTAAAGCCGGGACGTGAGGCGAGAAAGTGGAAAAAGATAAAAAGAAAAGAAGAAAAAAAAGAAAAAGGGATTTAAAACATGAAGTAGAAGGAAGATTAAGAAAATATAAAGATATTAATGAAAACGAAAAATTGCGTACGGCCACGAACACCAGCAAAGTCAATAGATCTTCAGAACACAGATTACATGCATTTCTTTTCTTTTTGTCTTTCTATATTCCTTTTTCAATCTTCGCACGAGTGATAGTTTGTTGTCACTTCGGTACTGTTACAGAATTCATCCTGTTTCTATGGCTTTCTGTGATGCTAGGTTTATCTTGGCTCTACGATAGTTACCAGTTGCACGAATATGAGGCACACGTCAAACAAACAAACAAACAAACACACAGACAGACACACACGCACGCACACACACTTAATCATTTACCCAGACTAATCACATCCACACACCAACATGCAACAACACTTCACTCCCACTTCACTGATGTTACACGATGCAATTACTGCCACATTGTTACTTGACTGTTTCCTTGTCTTTCCCCAAATCTCTTCACTTTCTATGTGGATTTCTCCGTCTCTCTGATAAGGGCTTTGCCTTGACACGGTTTCACGGACGATTCACTACTTTGAATAATGATTCTCAGGAGTATTATTACTCTCTCTCTATTTAATCGATTTTCTTCGTATACCACATGACACTTCACGATTCGCCTAATAATGAGTAATTCCCAGTTTATCTTTAGCTTTTTATAGGTTTGCGCCACTCAAAATCACATGCATAAAGAAACTGGGCACAATTCAGCGAGGATTTTCTTCCCCGCAGAGGGATCATGGACGGGACAACCACGTTTTCCACACCATAAGAGCAGCACTAAGCACAGCGACCAGGACACTACACATCCTTATTGTGACGTTTAAGGGTAGCACACACAAGCAGCGTTTAGAGATCGCAGGTGCCAAAGGACTTGCCAGACAGCAGTTCGTACCCCTCTGGTTAACGAAGGCGCCCTCGGGACCCGTGGAAACGAAGGACGGGGGCGGCCGGCCGGGCTCAGGCCGCTCGAAAGGTCGGCTGTCAAAGGCGTTCGGGTGGTGAGGGCGGGACGTGAACGTGTTGTGGGGGCGTTTGAAGTCGAAGTCGTGCTCGTGGGGGGGCGGTCGGGTGGGAGGGAACGGTCTCGGTCTATGCGGTCTGAGAATCGAGGGGGGTCTAGTGTTTGGGAATAATCTATCGTCATCGTTACCGAAATTACTAGGTCTGTGGTTGTCAAAGGGTCTGTGCGGGTTCGGCCGAAAGATGCTGGGTCGGCTGCCACCGGAGAACTGGTTGTGGGGACCTGATAAGGGTGAATAGCCAGTCAGATCCAAAGCAGCGACAGGCAAAGAAATACGCTATTCTATCATTGAAAAAATACTACGTGTAATTGGCTGTATAAATGAACTTACCTGTAGGATTGTGTATGAAGTTTGGGTCTTAATAAAACTAAGTGGAAAAGATGCATGGACGGTTGCATGGATAAAACTGTTGTTCATTTAAAAAGAATGCGAATGGGAAGTGGGACCAGAATCTGACTGATATAATTGAAACTACTCCATGTCGAAAGTAATGAAGTGTGTGTGGCCCAACATAAAGTAAAACGTGAGCTAAATGCAGTTAAGTTGAAAGCAACAACAGGTGTACAGAGGCGCCACACCTCCCATTGTTAGTACCGCGTCAGGAAATTCTTCAGATAAAAATAAAGGAGACCCCGTGTGACAATCGTGTGGTGACGAAAGTGAAAGCTATTTAGCAGTTGATGAGAATTCAAAACGAAATATATCGTGTAGATTTTTTTACTTAAGTTATAAATCTACTGTAAGAAATACAAAAAGGCTGTTCTACAGGCAAGAGATCCTAACAAATGGTGATACATGTAATAACGACTCCCTCTAGTCCTTTACACGAAAATAAAAAGAGGAAAATATGAGCAAAACAACAGAAAAGACCTAAGCTTCGGACTGTACACTTACCAGCGTCATTTCCAATCGCTCCGAGGTTCTGGTCGACGTGATCGACCTTGTCCCGGGGCACGCAGCAGGACCAGATCATGCCCCCGGAACACAGGTCGACGGGCTTCGCTCCCTGGAACACGCAGGACACGGACAGGCCGCAGTCGTACTGGTTGCTCTTGTACCAGCACTTCTGCGGGATCG